GCTACATCAGCAACAGGTGAGCCGGAAGAACAGCCGCAGCGCCTATCTTCGCTACTGCCCCAGCCGCGTTCACATCACCACCGCGCCCCCTTCACCGCTCGCTCTCAGACATGGTGAGTCCGCTCGTCTGCTCTCGTCGCCTTTTCTCTGCTTTTTCTCTTTCTTCTGTGGATAATTGTTCTTTTTTTCTTATCCTCCACTAGAGTTGGTAGGTTTGAGGAATTTGGATCCATTAAAGATGTAGGTATACTTTTTTCCTCTATTTCCTCTGTTATTTTCGATAGGTGGAGTTGAAGGATTCGGATTCGTCGTGAAAATAGCAACCATACTCTTTTCTCTTCTTTGTTATTGTCTCCTTTTATCATCCTCTGCTAGGTTCGATATGGTATAAAGAATTTAGTTGTCTTTTTTATTTTTTTATTATTATTATTATTTATATATATCTGCCTCCACTGGACTCGACATCTATGGCGGAATTTAGCTTCAGTATAAGTTGAGGAATCTGATTCGTCGAGAGTTAAAAATATAATTTCCTTTATCTCCTTTGTTATCGTTATTCCCCTTTGCGTTCAATAGTGCTGATTAAGTTTAAGATTTGCCGTCGATAAAACATTCCGTTAGGGTGAGCGTGGTAGACTGATACCATTGTTTGTTCCTCTCTAAAGTCGCTGCTATTTTAGTTTCATTCGTTAGTTCTATTTTATCCATCTATCTATTCATTTACTTCTTTGAGGAATTAGATAAGGGGAAACGTAAATCAAATAGAGCAAGTGTGGTGATGTTTATATTCTCCTCTGTTAGACTCGGCGTTTGTGGAGGAAATAGATATGTATGTAGAACAGCAACATTTCCATTGGCGCATGGCTGTCTGATTGGCCTTTGGCTAGATTCCGTATTGGCTAAGGAATTTGGATTCTCTTGCGACTTTTTTCTTCTTTCTTTGTTAGGAGAAGGATTTACAACAATTCTAGGATTTATCCATATTGCAAAATGCTGAAGAAATATATTTCTATTTTCACCCACTCGGCAGCTTTATGATATCATTGTGAAGGTTGTCAGTCATAGTAAAAATTTAGGTATATATCAATTCCTATCAACTACTCTATGGGTGCAAAAGATTTTTCTATATTCATTTTACTAATCATAAATTCCTACCGAATCGGAGAAAGAATATATATAAATGTATATATATATATATATATATATATATATATATATATATATATATATATATATAATATATATATACACACACAAATCTGACATGTTTGCGATGATGCTTTCCAGCACATTAATTGTGATTGCACATGGGTAGTTTAGAGGTAGTTGGTAGTTTTGTAATTATCAATCAAAAGGTAGTTTACAAGGTAGTTTATGAAACCAATCAGCTGTTCGCGCACTCAGACAAGTTTCAAAGATGTGTCACTTTATGTAACTCGGAAATAGGAGAAGGAAAGTTTTGAGGAATGTCTATCTTCATCTCTGTCTGTCTTTCTGTATGTACGTATGCACACATATACTTATTTTTATGTCTATCTCACCTTGTTTTTCGGTACATGGATGCACAAATGCGTGGATACTGATTGAGAAAATGTAATTATTTCAGTAAGCAAGACACATTAGTAGATAGATTCAAGTCTGTAATGTAATTTCAGTCAGAGTATGTATTTCTTATTAGATTATATTTTGATTATTTGCGATGGGTTCACTAATGTCCTATATCTATTATCGATTCATGGCTATTCTTTTTTTTTTCTTTTGTAAGTCTCTACCAGTTATTCTTCTTATTCATTCATTTATCCATTTATTTCATGCTTCCTTCTTTTGTCTTCCTCGGTATGAATTTTAACTCTTTCCCTTTTTCAAATCGCCTCCGTTTTCTTTCGAGTCAAATTACATCGTATTCTTTCCCTTACACTTTCTTCGCGTTTTTCTTCTTCATTCCTTCATTTATCATTTCTTTTTTTTTAGGGAGTAGGGGGGATGGGGTTCTGCAGTCATTTTGATTCGATTCGAAAGGTGTTTCTCCATATCATATTGCTATTAATTCGTTATCCTTTCGCCAAGCAAATTCGATTAGTAATCAGAGTGCTTATTAGTCAGTATCATAATTAACGTCTTCCTTATGCCCGTTTTCTTAATCACTGTCGTGTCTCCTAATTATAGTCCCCGGTCATTAGAAGGCCACTATCATTACCCCAATTATCACCATTAGCGCGTAATTACTCCAGGATAAGTGTTGTAATGACCGCCATTACCACAAACCTCGCCTCAAAGATTTCCAACATTTATTTATCACATTTCCCAACGGACCATCACATTCGTATTCACAGACCCGTCTACTCCAATAATTCTTAAAAACAACCAAATTCCACAAATTCTACTTTGTCACATTTAAGAACCGCGAACATCTACCGCCATAGATATTGAACTACCATAAACGTCCATCACCATAAACTTTGCCTCCATAGATGTCTACTACCATACCTATCTACCACATGAACATCTGCCATCATGGGCATCTTCCACCATAAACATCTACCACCATGAACATCTACCATCATAAATAAAACGTCTGCCACTAAACATCTATCACACAACTATAAACATCTACCACCATAAACATCTACCACCATGAACATCTACCACTGTAAACATTTACCACCATAGATATTACAACTATAAATATCTACCACCATAAACACCAACCACCATAAACATCTATCGCCTATCCACTACCGAACCCGCCCACATATACACACACACAACTTACCATACTCGATACAACAAGCAACTATAGGTTCCTCCCATAACCACATTCCCACCATCAAATCTACCCCCTGTGTTCACCATATCACACATCGCTATTTCAGAACAACCAGACACAATGATTCTATATGTCACCACCACACAACCACAGTATCATAAACGGTACAACCACTATTAATAACTCTAGTATTTTCTGACCACTCCACCGTCACAACCATTGATATCAACACAGAGGCAACCAAGACATGGCAATTCTAACAACACTTAGGTTACCAAAACTATCCACAACGTTACGGTTACCTAATCACAACCCACATCACCATCTCAACTATAATTTCACGATCATCTCATCACAACCCACAACGCCATCACAATCACAACTTCACAACCTCATCACACCCCACAAACATCATCTCAAACCACAACTTCTCCATCCCATCATCACAACATTTCACCACCTCACCACACCCCACAAGCATTATGTCAATTTCAACAACACAGATTACCAAAACTATCCACAACATTACGGTTACCTAATCACAACCCACATCTCCATCTCAACTATAATTTCACGATCATCTCATCACAACCCACAACGCCATCACAATCACAACTTCACAACCTCACCACACCCCACAAGCATCATCTCAAACCACAACTTCTCCATCCCATCATCTCAACCCACACAACCACAACCACAACTTCACAACCTCACCACACCCCACAAGCATCATCTCAAACCACAACTTCACCATCCCATCATCACAACCCACACAACCACAACTTCACCACCTCACCACACCCCACAAGCATCATCTCAAACCACAACTTCTCCATCCCATCATCACACCCACACAACTTCACCACCTACAACCCACATCACCACAACCCACCATGCAACCATGTCCAACTACCATACTATCCTGTATCATCACTAGTTATTGTTCAATTGTCATAATTGTCTCGTATTACACTAAGTGACACCTAAATGACACCGAGACTCAATCAGGTGTCATGTATCATCTAATTTGCATGTCAATAAAAGCGCACTTGGTAGGAGGTAGAAGTGGGAGAAGAGGAGGAAGAGAAGAAGGAGGAGGAAGAGGGAAATAAAAGAGGAAATAGGGGACGGGGAAGGGGAAAGAAGAAGTGGAAAAAGAGGAGGAGGAGGAGGGAAAGAAAAGAGGAAAAGGAGGTGGAGGAAGAAGATGAGGGAGAGAAAAGAGGAAAAGGAGGAGGAGGAGAAGGGAGATGAAAGAGGACAAGTAATAGGAGGAGAAAGGAGGAAAGGGGGAAGAAGAAGAAATAGGTGGGGGTGAAAGAGGACTGGGAAGAGGAAAGCGATGGCGAAGAGAGAAATGAGGAGGAGGAGAATAAGGAAGATGAGATGGAGGAGGGGAAGCAAGAAGAAGGAAGGTCCCAAAAAAAGAAAGAAAGAGAAGAAGGCACTCTTATTAAAAGCAAGAGAGAAAAAGAACATGAGAGAGGAAGAGAGAAGAGAGGAAGGGAGGAGGGAGAGAGAGAGAGAGAGAAGAGAGAGGAGAGAGAGAGAGAGAGAGAGAGAGAGAGAGAGAGAGAGAGAGAGAGAGAGAGAGAGAGAGAGAGAGAGAGAGAGAGAGAGAGAGAGAGAGAGGAGAGAGAGAGAGAGAGAGAGAGAGAGAGAGAGAGAGGAGAGAGGAGAGAGAGAGAGAGAGAATTTGTGTGTGAAAGAAAGAGAGAGAGAGTGAGAGTGAAAGAGAGATAGATAGATAATTAGATCGATAACTAGAGAGAGAGCGAGAATGAGAGAGAGAGAGAGAGAGAGAGAAAAGAGAGAGAGAAAGAGAGAGAGAAAGAGGAGGAGGTGAGACAAAGAAGGAAAAAAAGGATGAGAGAGACAGAGACAGACAGAGGTTCAGCCAGAACCACCTTCCTCCTCGCCTTCAGAACCGGCAGAGATTCGAGAAGGTCGCGGAGGAGTGACAATCTGACATGAAAGCATGTTTCAAGGCAAGCGGGGCCCCGAATGGCTTACGAGGAGTGACAGCTGTGAATGACAGGCTGTGTCACGTCTCGCCCTCCCTCAGCCGTCTCTACTCGCAGCCGACAGAGTTCGTCAGGTAGTTCGCGTCGCCTCATCTTATGCTTTCTGCGAGTTACTCTGTTCACCTGTTTGCGGGGTTTCTGTTCGATGGGTTGGTTTGTGTGTTTAATTGTCTAGTTTTTTTTTTTTTTTTAATGTTTGATGAGATTTGTTTTTTTTTTTGCTATTTGTTTCTCATTCAGTTTTTAGTCTTTATCTTTGATTATTTATTACACACTCGTACATATACACATGTATACATACACATACGCACACACCCAC